GTCTGCCCTCTACTGTGCCACCCCCTCCAGAGTTGAGGCACCCCAGCAATAGGCCCCTGGGCCTCTATATTAGGAAACAATTTAAAGTAAATTTCAAAAAAAAATTGGAAAGTAAATTATTGTCTCCATTTGCAAATGGAAATTAATTTAATTATGAAACATAACTTCTATGCAGCACTGCCAAAAGGGCAAACAACTGAGAACTTAACTAAAAGGAGAAAATTGTCAGTCTTTCAGCACATAACCATTTTTATCTGAACAGCAATAATTATGAAAATGGGCAGAAGACTGTTTCACTGATGATAAGTATACAACATGTCAAGCAATATTTGAAGATTCATATTTAATTACTGTGACTACACAAATTAAACAGTGGAAAAAAGTTGTCAATATGTTTTTTAAAGTAGGGAAATAGATCCAAAGTCAAAAGCAACATCATTAACATTGGTAACTCAAATAGAGAGAGTTTCCCTCTAGGCTAAATCTTGTGATAAAGGAGAGATGACCCTTATTATGCAATTTTGAATGTGTCTGGCAAAGTTAAGAAGTAAATAGCAAGATTAATCATCATCTGGGTTGGTAATGGTTTTCTCAGTCACATATTTACTACAGGCACATTTTTGGTGTTTCACATTACTGATAATTCTTGAACAAAATTCGTTGTTTTCCTTTTTTTTTTCATCTAGACATTACTTTAAGGCAAATAATTTTAGAAAACGTCATGCTTCACTAGTGGACCATGCAGGGTAGGCCTTCAATGAGTTCTTAGGATGAAGTAAGTGCAACCTGGCCACCCAAACTGGTGGTGTTTGCTTGCCAGTGTCACCGGCTGTGCCTGTTAGGGAGCAACATGAGGTTTGGCAAAGGGCAGTGCAGGTTTTCAGGATGCTTGGAGCTGCAGGTTGACCAAGATGAACACAGTGAAGACAGTGTGTGCTTTATTTTAGTGTGCACAGCTCTGATCAGCAGCACCATGCACAGCTCCTCTATGTGAATGGGGAAAGATGTTTTCAGAAGCATCTTCGGGAAAAAAGTGCTACAGGGAATACAATACTTTCTCTGCAGTGGTCTGGCTGGCACAGGGCTCCTTCCTCCATGCCCAAACTGCCTAGAGTGCCCAGCAGTCATGCAGCTACCACGGTGCACCCCAAACCAGGTCAAGAAGATCACTGTGGCATGTTGTTCCTGTCTGATGGGAAGTACAGATGCACTGGGCTCACTGAAGTTTTCCCCAGCAGCTGTTCTGCCCCGATGGTGCAGATTTTGGCTGGAGAATTCATTCCACCTTCTTGCAATGAGAGCCATGCTCCTGTTCCAGGTCCAAGTGATGTGGGTGCAAACACGAGTCCTGATCCTGCTGTTCTGTGAGAACTCATGAAATTTTTTTGCCTGAATTGCTCATCTGTAAAATAAACTGAGAAATTTTTTGTAAAGATTACCTTTGCAGAATTGCTCTCAAAGATGCAGAATTGCTCTCAAAGATGCAGAATTTTGTAGGATGTATGAATGGGAGTGGTTGCTTTGGAAGATGCTCTTTGTGAAGAGGATTATGTGCCACATCCTGCTGCAGTTGTCATGGCAAGTGTTCATATTTCCCATGGCAACAGAACTATCAACTTTTTATGCAGTAAATAAGTGTAGCATATGTATGTAGCATAAAAAGCTGTATTTAGTGACCAGGGCACAAGTTAATTAATCTCACCAACATCCTTAACTTTGGCTCTTGTATGGAGATTAAACATTCCACTGAAAAGCATTTCCTTTGGCTTGTGACAGGTTTCCATTTCAGTTTCAGTTTCATTATGATTCACCCACCAGTTGCTGTGCTAGTGACATTATCTGTGCTGGGTATGTGGTACTGCATGGTGTCTGAATTCACTGAAGGAGATGATGACAGGGCAGCAAACCCACAGTGAGTGCTGCTTTTGTAGTGCGAATGCTGTCTAATGCAGGTCACCTGAACAAAGTGTTGCCACTGAAATGACTGAAGCTCTAGAAGAAACAATGCACTTTAAAAAAAAAAACCAAAACAATTGGAGTCTCTTCCTCATGTTTTTCCTCAGCTGAAATGACTTATTCTGAAAACTAGCACAGCAGCTGGTGGGTGAATGTATTAAATAGACAAGGGAAGGATGAAAGCTCAGGGAAACCAGATGTCATTATGACAGCAGTGATGGTCCAAAGAAGGACAGCCTTCTGCTTTATTGAAATGAAGTTTGTTGTAAGCTAGCATTTTCCTAAAAGTGGTTTCCAGTGCTCTGAGAACCCTCAGGCTCTATTCTGCAGAACTATATTGTCTGCATACTGTGCTGAAACTAAAAAAAACAGATCCACACCACAGACCTCACCAAGCTCATCTGGCTGCCTGCAAATGTGCTGGGAAGGTGCTGCTTGGCTTGCCAAATATGGGTGCTCTTCTGGAATTAGTGAGAGTGTGTTTCTTAATGAGGAGAGAATCAGAAACTGTTTCTAAGACAGTCAGGGCAGTGAAGGCTTGGGATCAGGATGACAAGTGTGGCAGCACATAACTGCCCTCATGATCACCACAGTATATGGGACAGTAAAGAGCTGAGTCCAAAAATGCAGTCCTTTTTTCATGGGTCTCACTTCTGCAAAATACTTCCTGAGTTTCATGAAAACATGCTCACTAGATAGGTCCACTCTTCAATCCCAGTCTCTCTTTTACAAACCCTGAGCAAAACAGATCTCAATATTCCTATTTAGATAAGGAAATTCCAATTGTCTCGTATATTCATTTTCTATAGACACACAAAAATGCCATCACTTAGAGCTGCATAATGAACCTGATTTCTCCAAGTTAGTCAGAGGTTCATTTCCTCTTATTGGGGATGGCTTTTTGCAACACTGTTTATAGACAAAATCTGTCACATAATACTAGTTTCCAGTACTATAATCAATTCACTGATGATGTTCAGCACCTCCCCTGTGCCCAGAAAAACCATGGGCTTTTCTGTGAGTAGAGAGTGCAGTAACATCCCACACAATTCTGAATATTTTTTGCGCATTCCAGTATCATTTCGTGGTAAAACAGTAATAAAATGTCATAGACTTGCAATTTAACTTGCTTTTGTTTAGGTATGAGCAGAGTGGCACAGCCTCAGCAACACATGAGGCTTTCAGTCCATCCTGCACTCAGGACAAAGTGTCTGTTGAGTATCAGTCCACCTGTTTTATGCATTCAGGAAATTATTTAGAAAGCTTCAGTGATTTAAAGAAAGGCAGAAGGAAAACAGTGGAAATTACCCAAGAACCCTATTGACTTTGGTGCACCTGGGTTGAAGGACACACATTTTCTTTTCTGTGTATCCTAAAAGACATTAAGGGAGGTATTTGGAGAGTTCTGCCCTGGGGCTTGTGCTTCAGGTTTCCGTCCTTACCAGTGTCTGGGCTGTGTTGTCAGTGGTCTCTCAAGACCATCAGGCTGCTTTGTTCTAAAGAACCACTGGTACAGTTTTATGCCTAAAAAGCCACTGCTTGACATTTATAATCTGATTGTAAGCTATGCCTGGCCTTCAGTGGTTGAGGTGAGTATGCATGGTATTAGGTGCATATGCAAATATCTTTGTATTGTTTTTTAGGTGTTTGCCAATCATGATGTAGTAGAAGTGTCAACCCCACTGTCTTCTCCCCACATATTCCCTGTCTGCTTTCTGCTGCATCCTTATCCATCTTAAATAGTCTTGATTTTAATGTCTTCTTGTACAGAACTGGGAAAGGGCCACACAGGTCACTTAGTCATGAAAAGGAAGATTTTGCTTCCCTTACAAAGTGAAATCAGCAGTAGCTTATCTCAGCACCCCACTGTAGAGGTTCTGCAGAGGGAAGGTTTTTCCCACCAGCAAGGCTGCGCAGGGGGAAAGTGGGGCCTCTGGAACTGCCTGCAAGTCACAGCCACCGTAATGCCACTTTCTGACCCAGTGACCCAGTTTTGTGAGGAGATTAGGATATAGCTGGGAGCCCTTGGTCATAGCCCAGTCCAGCAGAACAGAGGAGGAGAATGACAGTAGATGTGAGAGAGATGGGGAGGTATGGATGGAGGCAGCTCCTGTACCAGCAAGCGTGTCCTTTGTCACCCACATGTACATCCTGGGTGTCTGGTCAGACCCTGGGTTGTAGTAGGAAGTCTAGGTGACAAGGGGAGCTTTCCATCTGGTATGTTTGGCCAGAAGGTCATTGGGTTTTGCCTTGGAGTCAGCAGTTGCTACTCTAATCCAGGATGTTGAAAACTGTAAGATGATGATGTTACCTTTGCATGTGCCCTAAGTAAAGGCCCAAGAGGGAAAGTGGAAACCTTCATTGCAAGGAATAGTTGAACTGCACAATTCCCAGCTGTGTATCAAGTGGGATCAAGTAACAGATCAAGTAATCGAGTAATGGACAAGTACCAGAATAAAGCTCAGCATAAGTATTAATAGGAAACATCCAGTTTATCAATGTGGATTTAATGTGCTAAGTAGTAACCACTATTATTTATTAGGAAGGATGCACTTGCAGATGATGGACAATAATTCTGCACTGACTTGTCTGTTCTTCCTCTGTGCTTCATCCAAGGGCAATGCTGTAGCTGCTGCTGTTTCCTGGTGCTGCCTCTGCTCATTTGTCCTCTCTCTGCTGAATTCACGGGGATTTGTGCCTTTAGCATAATTATTATTATTAAGTTTCTATTTTATGTCTCTGTTCAAGAGGCTCCTTGGTAGCTGATTATACTAAGTCTCTATGACTAAGTCAGAGGTGACTTAACCCATATGCAGCAGTCTGAATTTTCCTTCAGCACAGTCTCCAGAAGATACCAACCAAACATCAAAGAAAATTAATTCATAGGTACATTATCCTGTGGGATCAAGCTAAAATGTGGTCAAAGAGCTTTAGCTTGTATGCTCTTATGTAAGGATATGGGTAGGAGAAGGCAGCCATGCTCTCATTTGTGCAAGTTTCCCCCCTCCCTTCTTTGAGTCAGGCAGAGTAACAGGTCACAAGAATACTTATCAGAGAATATTTTACTGTAGTTAAGACAGAACACTTTTTTCCTTTACTAAAATAATATTTTTTTTGGAAGTACAAGCAGCCACATGAAAAGTATTCTTTGATCTTTTTCAGGACCAAAATATGACTTGGGAACTTCTTAGCTTTTCAAATAAATACATTTGTTTATCTGGCCAAGGTATTACTCCAGAACAAGGCAATACAGAGCGTTAAATACACACCAAATTTGGGTACTACTGTTGCCTCTATAAGAAGCATCTTAAATCATTTCTACAAAATAAGGTCCTGGGTGATGAAAATGAAAATATTCCTGTTGGTTCTCAAAAACTTAGGTGGACTTTTGTCCTAAATGGTGATTAACTCACTCATGTATGTTTATAATCCTTTTAAGCAGTTGCATAAATATTCCAAGTGGTCCTTGAAGATGCTGGGTAGGACAGTGAGTAGCTCATTTCAGCCCATAGGAATGCAAGATCTCATGCTAGGGGAAAAATCCTGTTCACTCAGGAGTAAATGTGTTTTTTGTTCTGCCTTTAATGGCATTTCCGTTCCTTTTTCTGAACTTAACTGAGAATGGAATTTTACCCATCTCCTCACATGATTCTAGCTCAAACCTAAATTCTAGCTTTGAGTCTTTTTAAATGGGGAAAACTAAGGTGAAACTAAATAAATCCAGAGAATAAATCCAACCTCAGATGGAGAAGGACTCTGGTAATTTTCCTGAAGCAGACATGCTCTAAGCAAACAGTCTGTGCAGTGTCAGCAGTGCTCCAGGTGCTGGGGAAGCAGCTGTGTCACCTGCCTGCACTGCTCTTACAGGTGGGCAGTGTTGTCCCTGGCCAAAGGGCCCTTCCTTCTCCCACAGCAAACACACAGGATGTTTGGGATGAGAAGGCCATAATACCACAGAAGGAAAAATGCACTATTTCCAGGAACTTTCAGTGAAACTTCAGATTTCACAAAGATAAGGCTAGGTAAGGAATTTCAGGGACAGAGGTCACACAGGTAAATTCTCAGGCAGTCTATTTTTATGTTGCAAGTAAGTGGGCATAAAATATTCCATAAACTTTCACTGTATTCTTTGCATTAAATCAAATAATTAGTTATTCATCTCCCACCTCTGATTTTGTTAAATAACCGATGCCCTAATTCAGAGGCAAGAATTTAACCCATAGAAAATTCTATCCTGGGAGAAGATCAAAGTCAGTCCCGTGGTGTTAAGCACACACCTACAGCACATGATCCTGAAAAAAAAAATTAGGTGCATGTTTCAGTCAGCCTATCCCTTCTTACTGCTTCCCATGCATTAACCTAAGCATCTGTTGGAGCATTGGTGGTGCCAGGATCAAGGACCTGTGGAGATACGCTGGGAGAGCAGGGCTATGAAAACGTTGCAAGCAAACGGGTGAGAACCCCAGCAGGCTGTGATGGCAATGCCTCCTCATTCCTCTGCATCTACCAACACTACAGGAAGAGATTGAAAGTCTCTTGGGCTACATAAATACGCACAATAAGGGCATACAGAAAAAGGTGAAATGGCCCTGCTTATCAGGTACAATTAAAATGAATAGAGGATGACTAATAAAGAGGCAGTTTAAAATCTTTACATGACACAGTGTCAAGGCAACAGTGTTGTGCAATAGCGCTGACACAATTAACACTGTGTCCCTGCCTTGGGCAGAGCCGGGAACGGGGCTCCCGCTGGCCTCACCCGCACCCTCCCATGGCGAGGGCTGGGTGGGCTTCGCCGCTCCAGCTCTCCGCTCTTTGATGCATCCCAGAGCCACTGCAGAACCCGCGCAGAAACAGCCACTCCAGACCAAGGCAAGAGTGCTTTTTCCTCATTGTCATCTCTGTTCCTCTCTTTCCTTTTCGTTTGCATGATCCCAAACCTCACGGTTACTACTGTGTGAAAAGGGAAAAACATCACGTTGAATTTCTGGGCACACTTTAAAGGGAAACTAGGCTGAGGTGCCTGATTCTGAACCGGGGCTGGTTAGTGACTTAGCACTAAGCAATGCGAGCATTTCCTGTGTTGGAATTTTTACAGTGTGTAATTTAAAAGCTAGCTTGGAAAACCCTTTGCCGAGGATGGTAGACGGTGAATGGGAGTGTGATCTTCCAAAATACAGCCCAAGGTATCCTTCTAGTTCTATATTTATTTATGTTGCTCCTTCGTGGTGCCTGTCAGGCTACAGGATCTCCCAGTCCACTGGGCAAGTGCAGCAGGGGCAGGCTGGATTTTAGATACATATCTATAATGTGTATATGTTTAATGTGTATATACATGTGTGTACATATTTATATATATACATAGATACTATATATATACACTTCTATTCACACACAAGAGCATATATAAAAACATACACAAGACTTATATAAGAACAACAAAGATATTTTTTTTCTTTGATGTTCATGTTTTCTGGCCAAAACAGCTCTCTCTTGGTTTTATTGCTGCTGTCATGTCTTTGCAGTGCAGCACTGTCAAAAACTAATAATATAAACAAATTTGAGGCTATGCGAAACATCACTGAGCACAGCCAAAGCTGCCCAATGCCACAACTTGCTGAACAATGTGTGAATTCTGAAGTGGCAGAAATGTCTATTTCCCTATTCTTTCTTAACTTTTAGAAAGATCTTGGCAGAAAGTGTGTTAAACTCCTTCACCATTGTTGCAGGAGGATTGGCCCAGTCTTCTAGCTCTACCTGCCAGGGGCTGCAGGAATGTTGACTGGAACACTTCAAATAAAACATGATTTCTGGTCAGCAAATAGTTTTTTAATGAGGCAAAATGGTATTTCTGAACAGTTTGCTTTATTAGAAGGCAGTGTTGATGCTGTTTCCTGTGCCTGTCAGGCTTGTGGGAAGGGTGGGTGGCCATGGAAGGGTCCCAGCATTGCCAGCACCCCTGGCCAGCTCCTAGCACAACTCAGGGCAATGGCTGTGGCACTTGTACCTTGAGGGGAAACCTACCTTCAGGGCCACATCCTGCCTACCTGTGCTTCCACCCATCCATCTGTGGGTGCTTAATCTTAAAGTGCATCAGTCACAGAGTTTGATGTTCTCATCATTCCTCATCTACTTCCTCAAATGTGTATCTTGCATGCCAATGTAGGGAGGCAGTGACATCCAAGTGGTGATGATCACTGCTGTGACAGGGCTGCACTTCAGGCTGCAGAGACACATCTTAACCCAAGTAAAAGTGGAGAGAAACGCTGCATTTGATATCTGTTCATATCTCGCCTGCAAGTGAGCAAGAAGGATTTTTACCACATGAATGAGGGGAGGGTTGCTGTGTTTTGCAAGACGAGGCCACATGCCAAAAACCCGTTCTAAGGGAGAAAAAGAGATTTGCCACTTGTGGTAGGCAGCACAACCAAGCTATTTTCTTTGCCTCCAATAGGAAAGTAAATATTAAATATTAGCTGCATGCAAATGTGCCCTTTTACTTGTCCTCATCAATAACAGCTGATGTTCCTCAGGGTTATTGCTGTAACAACATCACTTCCCTTTCTTCACTGGCATCAGGTTCACATTAAAAACCTCATAGCGAAGTCTTTTGTCCTATCCCATTTGTGGTTCTGCTTTTGTCCCCATGCTGTGCTTTGGGGCACTGGCATATGTGGAGATGTGGCCATGCAGGCTGCCTGTATGCCTGCCCCTTTCTTCCAGCAGAACAAGGGCTGGGAGAGGAACAGAAATTTTGGCTGAACAAAGAAAGCCAGTGGTAAGGATGCCAGCTGTGGCAACGACCTACTAGGCAGCAGTGTGCTCCCAGACAGAGCAGATCTTCCAGCATTGCATAGGTTAAGGAGCAGCTTTCCAAGAGGAGCTGGAGAGGGGAAAAAAGCACCCCAAAAATTAACTTGTTTATAAAGGAGTGAACTCAGTTTTGGAAGCTGCTTGGAGCAGCCTGGGTCCAGAGTCAGGGACCCAGCAATGTTCTCCCGAGGCGTCCCAGTTGTGCTGTCAACCAGTGGCTTCCCACTGCAGCGCTGGTCCCCATCTGGTAGTGCCTTGAGAAGAGAGAAGAGATTTCAGAACAGTCTTAATGCCTCAGCTTTGGTACCTACTGTTTCCAGATACAAGAGGAACATAAACCAGACTCTGGTGATGGGCAGGACCACATGGCACGACTGAGCAGTGGCCCCTGCCCTACTGTCCGGCAGCACCGTGGCAACGCCGGTGGGACCCGCTGCTCCTAGCGCTGCCGGCTGCGGCTCCGCGCCCGCAGCAACGCACGGCTGTAGTCGCGGGCAGGGGAAAAGAGCTGCCCGCTGTCTTTGGAGAGGAGGGTAAATAGTTACAGTGGAGAAAGGGAATTTAAAAAATAAACAAAAAAAAACCCCAAAACTATGAGGAAGGAAGCGGCAAATGTTAAATGGGTGACTCACGGTACAGGATGACTAATCCCGTCAGGGCACAGCTCATGCTGCGGAGGGAACCGGTGCCGCNCATCTTCCTAGACGGTACGTACGGCCCCGGGGAACGCGAACCCTACTGGGGTGAGGCGTGCAGGAGGGAGGGTCCTCGCAGCCCTCAGGGAGCGGCGGCAGCCCTGGAAAAGCCCCGGCTTACCGCTGCAGGGCCGGTACGCGGCACTCGCCGCTCCGCCCTACCTCCGTCGGACACTGCCGGTACGGTCGCAGGTAAGTTATGAAAAGGAGAACAGACAGCCGCAAGTCCTCTGATTTTTTCCTTAAAAAATCCGCATCGGTCAGGACAGGGCAGGGGACGCACCGCAGGGTGTCCGGGGCCGACACTCTAGAGGGCAGGCGGGAAGGGGACGCCGGGATCGGGATGCAGGAGCGCGGTGCATCCGGCCGGGCACCGACATCCCCGGCCCTCAGCACCCACCGACCTCGGCGCAGGGAGCCACGGGCTACTGAGCGCAGCTGGGAGCTGTGGTGATTTGAGATTGAGGGAAACAGATTTTCAGGAGACTGAAACGGGTCTGATCGCAGGCTTCTCGTTCTGTCTTGAAGTTCGTCATTCAAGGAATGTGTTTGACTGAAAACAGTGTGGAGAAAAATCTCCGAAATGAGTCTTACACCTAAAAACAGCTTCTAAAATACAGGTTGAAAAGTCATTCTTCCCACCAGGATTGTTGCGTCATTTGATTTTACAGAATGTTTACAGTATAAGTGGGGAATTAAGAATGTTCCAGACATGGATTTGTGAATGATAACTCCACGCCTTGGTCCTTAGCGGCGGAAATTGTGAAGTGATTGCTCTGGGTAGCTCGCACTGGAAGCACAGGTCGGAGCTGAGCCCTGTGTGATTCATCAGTGAGGTGTCACACGCAGTTTGGACAGCTGTAGTCCTCTGTGAAGTGTCGCAGTCCCCGAAGGCAGGAGGCTCCTGAGCCATAGTGGAGCAGGTCCCTGCTGGGTGGATTTTGGGGAAGTCCAGTACATCAGTCCCTTTTTGGGGAACAAAACTGGCACCCAAGTGCCAACTACCCCTGATCTCTGAATGAAGTTGTCTCCTAGAGCAGTGGAGTGGCCCCAGAAATAATGTCCCTGAAATCAAAAGTGTTTGATATCAGTGTTTGATAAAGCCCTGTGCTTTACCTGCCTGGGGAGGGTAGGGTTATTTATTAGCTGAAGTTTACTTTGTTGTGTGCAGTGAAAGCTGTGGTGCTGATTTCACTAGAGGGATGAGATGTTCTGGTATATACATGAGGAGTCACTTCCTTCATTTTTGAACAGAGTGCCAGTGCTCCCCTGTCCTTATTTTTCTGGATCACTGCTGGCTAATCCCTAGCTCTGGAAATGTGAATTTGGCTTAAAGAGACAGCTGGATCTTCATGGGTTTGATATGTAGTCCTTATAGTCCTCACAGATTTAACGGATGTTGTTTGAAGCAGCAGATACTTTAAAGAGTATGCAATGTGAAGCCCTGGTACTGAATGTCGGACAATATGGTGTTTTGGTTGGGAATTTGTGTAATTTTTATAAACTTCCTAGGCTGCAGGCCCTCACCATAGTTATACAGACAGAAAAATGCATTTGGATTTTGGGTTTTTTAGAAACTGTATTTTAAAATAAAAGAGATCATTCTCATGTAACGTGCTAATCGGAGTAAGTCAGTGTGTCAGCGCTGCACCAGGGAGGACCAGAACAACAGCACTTGGAGCTCTGTGGCTGACAGAGCCCTGACAAATACAGCAGGCACTAATGAGGACAGGAAGCTCCAGAGAAAGCCAGAAGTTGAAATGTGTGTGGAAGGGAGGCATTCGTATCTCTTGGGCTAAACACGTGTTAACAATCTTTATAATTTTTCTGGAAGAGGTAGTAGGAAGGATGAAAATGGATTTAGGAGTGGTTGCTTGCTGCTCACTTATCCTGATCATTCCAAGCTGTGGATTACAGTTACTTGATTAGAGGAAAAAGTAAAATTGGTTTGAAATGCTTTTATAAACTGCAAACTTAAGTAAGATATGTGATGGTTCCTGGGTTTAAGCCACTGAGACTATATATATATATTATATTATCTTTCTGGTTTAAGACATACATCAACTACACAAAAATAGCTCAAAGATTAGAATTAGCAAATGAGTAGTTCATAATTAAAGTCTCATGATAGAGGAAGTGGCATTATATTGTGGAGATACTGATATCAAATCCAACTTCTGCTCATTAGTAGTATCAAAATATTGCTAGGATGTCTTTATGGTTTGGAGCCAGGGCTTGTCTATGCACAGGAGTTGCTTTGTTTTGTCCTAAATTACTCAGCCTCCCAAGATTTACATGTAACAGTTAAAGGTTTTAATGCCAAGATCACTCTTTCAAGACTGGAGAAATAAGGTGTGTGCCTATATCAGAACAACTGTATTAGGGCTTGTACTGGAACAGTTACAGATCCTTGTGAAATAATATGGCTTTAAGCAGAACAATAAAACTTCAAAATACCAAAATAGTATGAACGAGTGTTTTCTGGTATTATTGAAATGATAGACCTCTCTTATCACTTCAGTTACAAATCTCTGTCAGGGAAGTCAGGCAGGTGCAACAACTGTATTTATTTGTTAGGACCTGGATGACACCCTTCTTTTGTGTCCTGGCTCAGCTGGGGCCCTGCTCTGCTCAATGTACTCTTGCAGTAGCAGCTCTGTGCCCACCAGCATGGCCCTGGTGATGGTCTTACCTGGCTGTAGCTCCACCAGCTCTGTCCCATCCTCAGCACAGGCTGAGGCCATTCCATTTTTTTGCCTTGTTTCACTGCTACTTTGGTGTGGCCAAAAGGCTTATATGCCCCGTGGCCCATAAACTGAAGGAGCAATGTCCCTGTAAAGAAGTCCTGCAAGACCCTATTTATTGTTACTCCCATCTCACTTAAGCCCAGATTTAAGGGCGGCTGAAGTGACCACAGCAAGAGCTCTGTGCACAGCTGGGCTTGCTGGCTGCACATTTTCCCAGCCTCAGAATCACCAGATTCAGTCAAACCACAAGGGTGTGTACAATTAATGAGAGACTTTTACCTACTTCATATTCCTTTATTGTATTTGGCCTTGTCTACATGAGGAAATTACACCAAATCAGTTTAAGTCTGTTTTTAAAGTGATTTGATGAATCTGATGTGATCTTGTCTAAGGACATCATTTTGGTTCAAATGAGCTTATTTGGGTTCAACCAAAACCTGCACTTAGTCAATTTGCACAGAACTGAAATTAGACATGTCTAAACTGGAAGGGGACCTGATGTCTCTAAATAATGACACAACTTTCTCATGAAAACAGAACCTTCTGTACAATATGGGACAGAGTGTAATTACTCACAAATTTGCAGGCAAGTAAAAGCTATTCATAGCAAAAGTTTCAAAAAAATCCAGGGAAAACATCAAAACTTAAATATCTTCATGAGACAATAATCCCAGTCCTAGAATACTGAAAGAAGTGGCACCGGGCTTGCATAGCTTGCAGCAAGGTTCTCCCATAGCTCTTCAGATGCAAAAAAAGACAAGAATTTGTGTCTATTACAGGGAGTCCCTAGAGAGTCAGAAAATAAAAAAACAATGCAGGAAATGTTAGGCCAGCTGGTTTGAACACAACAGTACTCAGCATCTCATGACGTGTTTTGTAGGAAAGAATAATTAGACATGGAAATAATGAGGAAGCAGACTAAATTACAACAAGATTTTATCAAAGATGGATTGTGCTAGAGAAATCTAACATCTTTTTCCTATAACAGATTACTTAGATGGGGTAGGGTAGGAATGTCATTTATCTAAAGCCAAGCATTTGATACATTGCCCCACAGGATGTTATGGCTTAAAATGAAGATGGTGGTTCAAGACAAGAATTGAAATGTGGAAAAGAACCTGGCCAAATAAAAGCTACAACCATTATATGCAAATAAAGTTGTCTGAATGGAAAGAGGTATTCAGAGAAAGTCATCAGGATGGAGGGAGATTGATGGTGTTGCTCCCTTGGGACCAGGTTTGGACCTGTGAATGGATCTGCTCTGACCTGTGTGCAGGGTCTGGGTGTGTGCCCAGGAGCTGTGTGAGATGACAGAAACTTGGGAGGTATTGTCAGTAGAGAGGAGGATAAGATTATCACATGAAAGGAATTTAGATGACTTTGTTGATTGGGAATGATAGACATAAAGTGGCATTTAATAGTGCTGAATGCAAAGTCAAGTAAAGTTGTAAGCATGGAGACCAGTAACAAGAATTTCCAGTGTGAAATAGGAGCTTATCAGTTGTCCATGACAGAAGGCAGAGATGTGAATGCACTGGCTGCTCAGAAGGTGTCTGGGAGCAAGCACTGAGATACAGCTGGGAAGGGGACCGCTGACATCCCTGGATATCAAAGGAAAATAATATGAGAAATTCAGGGAAACGTGATACGATCATTGTTCAAATCATCATACAAGATACAAAATACAAAAGCTCCACATTGCTTTTGGAGTGGTTTACTGCTTAATTCTGGACATTCCCATTAAGAAATGTTAAATTACAGCAGTAGGAGGGCTAGAGATACGGTTATACAAACAGACCATCTGTTGTACAAAGTGATGTTAAAAGAGCATCAGTTATTTAGCTCAGGCCAGGTGAACCAATGAAGGAACAGGCTATATTGGGGTATTTTACACACACTTGATACTATATAGCAAGAGGGCAGAAAAGAATAAGCTAAAAGATAGCATCTGCACTAGGTCAAATTTTATAAATTGGCCATAAATGAATTTGGATGGGGAATTAGAAGAAAGTTTGTAGCTGCCCAAGGACTGAAGTTGCATAAGAGTCTTTCAGTTAGGGTAGTTTTGAGATAGATCTTGATAATCTTATGAAAGAGATTATACAATTAAATTAGAGAGTTCCTGGAGATAGGAAATTACATTTGCAGAATTAGTTCTTTGGTCTGCAGTGTAGTCATATTTTTAACGTATGCTTGAAAAGAGAATAGATCTTGTTTGCTTACAAACAAATACTGTTATTAATTAAATTT